TTTTAAAAAGTGGAAATTGTGTGCTATGCATGTTAAATTTTCCTGTCAATAACAAATACTCATTATCGATATAAATCTGAAATTGTTTTCCGTTGAAATCAAACGATCAATTAGCTGTCACAACCAGAATCTATTTAACATTGTATCCTGCGATTAAACAAAAGTGCTAACATTAAACAAATACCACAGTCCAGCCAGATGACCCATGACTTCTATTCAATTCTCCAAAATATTCGTGGCTCCCCACCGACCTATTTGACACGTACACTGCTTACCCTATGATTTAATCAATTGATTGTGATTGGTAAATCGCTGCCAATCGCGGTATGACGTATTGTCCATGTCCTCGCGCGTTCTTTTTTGTTCCAACTGTATAATATGGAAGTGTACATGCCGTATCTACATCGTGTCGCCAGACCATAAATTGTACCCCAGTGTGCACTTGTCACAAGAGCTGTCAGAATCCATAATCTGAATCGAGCCGGTTCCAAAGCGAGACTTCGAAATTATTGAAATAGAGTTGTGGGATTTTTTGTTTTGATTTTTTTTTGTTTCGAGCGTAGATGAAGTCTTTTGTGTGGTTAATTGGCGTCACGGGGAGCTGAAAAGCTACAAAATAAACAAACAGAAATTTGTTTTGTTTTTAATTTAGTAAGCAGATAACGCAGTTTTTTGTAAACAGTTTAACGATATTTAAATGTATGGCAAAACAAAAAGCTTTTCCAAAAGTTTGGAGATTTGTTATTCAATACAATAAAAAAGGAACGAAAAAGAACTGTTACTGATAAAGAAAAGAGTGAAGGATCAGTATAATGAAATATAATGAAATAAAATAAAAAAGATCAAAGTAAAGGTTAAAGTGGAATATGTTGTCAATACAATAATACAAAATCTGTACAGTAAATTTACAGGAAAGCCCAAAAAAGAAGACAAAGGGCCAGAAATGTTTGAACATTTAATGCAATAAAAAGTAGATTTATTTTATATTGTTTGTCTTACTAATTGTAGTAGAGAAATCACAATAACCCCAAAAAGATTTACGGTCCATTTTCTTGACTTCTATGATGATAAAAAATTAGGATAGGAGGAACACATACATCGAAAAAAGAGACGTGAATTAAAAAGGGACATATTAGAACGGCTTAAAAGCGAGATGGCGTTAAGGAGAAACAAGAAAGTTTGATCACCAAATAAAAATTATTAGGAAAAAATTTAAGCCAACGAACAACATCTGCAATGTTAAGGATGGCAACCTGCTTACCAACAAAGAGGAGATCATGTTACGATGGGTAAGACACTTTCAAGAGTTGCTGGAAAGGGAACCTCTCAGCAAGCTACAGGGCTGTAGGTTCTAGATTGTAGTAGGGAACATTCTAACAACATAGAACTGAAGTGCCCAAATGAGGAATTCATGGAAGCAAACAATCTATAAAAAAACTAACAAACCGCAAATCTCCAGGTAGCGATGGTATCCCAGCAGAGTTATTTAAACAAGATCAAGAGATCGCCAGTATTATGCAAAAAATAGATTCTAAAATTTGGTCTGAGGAACAAAAATATTGTCAAACATCTTGCTTGAAAGATTGAAGCCTTATACTGAAGTGTTTCTAGAAAAATATTAGGCATGGACGTTCATCTTTATGGCGATTTAAAACAGCATATGATTGTCATAAGACCAAGTCTCTACAAAGCTATGAATAAATTAGGAATTCTAAAAAAAAATTCATATGTATGACAAACGTGACTATGTAAAGGTAGAGTAAAGGTAAAGGTAAAGATGCTATCAGCAGTAAAAATTTAGAACGTTTTTTGAAATAATAGGGGATTAAGACAAAGATACACGCTGGCATGTCGAGGATAGACGAGGTAACACAAGTATGCTGAGAAGATGTTGACAACTGAAAAATCCAAGCAGGGAACAGAATAGAATGGCGTAGAAATTTTGAGAAGGCCGAGGGTTTTTAAGAGCTGTAGCATCGTGATGATAATGGAATGCAATATTTAGATTTTCTTCGATTGTATCTTCCTGGAAGCATTTTTGATTGCCCCATTCCTTGTAAGTTGTCCTCATGTTTGAATCGTTGATAAATTAGTTTATCTTAAGTCTGGTATGCCACGGAATGAGTACAAGATTAACTTCATTTTGAAGACTCAATTATTATTTGACTGCTTCTCTATCAGACATTATAACAATCTCTTTTTCACGACATTTTTGTTTAAGTTTAACGGGGCTCATCTTTAGAGAGCGTGAGTTTCCATTAAGAAGATGCTCAGTACCTTCGTGCCCATACACTCCTATCCCAGTTCCATGACAGCTGTTGGATACTATGTTAAGTAATGTTACGCATACATAAGCTACATAGTCTTTAAAGTCTTGCGAGATTATTCCCCATAATGCTAGTCATCATCATCATCATCATTAAACCCGGATCTATCCACTGCTGGATATAGGTCTCCCTCAGTCTTTTCCATTTATTTCTGTTTTGTGCTGTTTGCATCCAATTTTTGTCGATCCGTTTTATGTCATCAGACCATCTTGTTGGTGGACGACCTCTACTTCGATTTGCTTCTTATCTCGGTCTCCACTGTATTATTCGCTTTGTCCATCTGTTATCTGACATTCTAGCTATGTGCCCCGCCCAGCTCCACTTAAGGGTCATAATTCTTTCTATGGCGTCTGTCACTCCTGTTCTCTGTCTTATTTCCTTGTTCGTGATCCGATCCCTACGAGAAATGCCTAACATCGATCGTTCCATGGCTCTTTGGGTAACACAAATTTTATTTCTTACTTTCTTGGTTAGTGTTAATGTCTCTGCACCATATGTAAGTACTGACTGTACTGTACAGTAATGCTAGTATAAGAAACCAAAGGCAAGTTTATTTCAAACCAACAATATTTAATATATTTAAGAGTTAACTCACTGAATGGGAATAAATATTAAGGACCACTATATAGTATTGTAGATATTTGCCCATCAGAAAACAATTAAAAACAAATGTGAGAAACTGAGAGTTAAACCACAGATCAAAGTTGTTCTAGCTGAGCTGGTGCGTGTTTTTAAATATTTGAAAAATGTTTATCTCCCGTAGTTCCTCCACTTTTCGTTGACATAAGATGTTCTTTCCTGCTGTGGGTGTTACATGAGTTTCTTCTGCCAAAGTTATCTTTGTGTTAGATAAGTACGCCTAATTGAATAAAAAAAAATTTTAGTCAGTCTTTAGAAAACATTTTGGTAACACTTTTTTCATTTTTATAAAGGAATTAGGCTGATGTCAACCTTTCTCTTCTGTCCATTCTTGAAGACCTTAGAGTTTTCCATGCTTTATTTGTTCTACACTATCCTTTATTTTGGTTTATCTATCCACATATACTATTCCACATTTCACTTTTTGCTTTCAACACTGCTTTTTTAACGCCATGACGATAAAGCGTATAGTATGTTCGGTCTCCTAAATCATTTGTCCTTAACCATAAATTAGGTAGTCGTTTATTGTCTATAACCTATTTTTAGGTTATGTCAGTTTATATCATACATTGAATTTTTTAGTCTATGTTTACTCCAGAGGGATAATAAACATTATTGAGCTTTAATTTTAGTGTTGTGTTATGGAACCATGCTCTCAATTTGTTGACGGACTATCTACCTAAAACTAATAGTTCTTCAAAATCATCTAATCAAACAAACTTACTCCATCTCCTGATGCACGTTTTTAGAATTCTTTTTTTTAACTATTATAGTGAAATCCTATTATAGAGAAATAAAAGGTAAAATTTACAAAACAGTTGTTGGACCAATAATGACATAACCGGCAGAAACATAACTTGACACAGACAGGACAAAAAGGATGTTACAAACAGCAGAAAAAAATTGATGGTGAAACACATGGGACAGAGTTAGAAGTACAGATATACGACGTAGGAGGAGAACATCAAGAACTGGGTAAGAAATAGAAGAGTAGAATAGAACGATCATATAAACCGAATGACAACAAATAGAGTATTAAGAACAGTGAGAGATGATTTACCAATAGGAAGTTACTGGAGGCATATTGAAAAACTTGTCGTGTGTACAGAAGAAGAAGAAGAAGAAGATGTACCTATTATAGTAGAACGATTTTCTTGTACTGAAACTAGTTATCTGTTCTTGTTATTCATTAATTGCTCTTGTTATACTAAAAGGTTTATTTTAAGATCTCTTCTTTTACTAATTTGTTGTTTATGATTACATTTTGAACAATTATTGTTTTACTACATAATATTTTCCATCGGATAAAACTTCAAAATGTTTATTTACATCATCCATTAGCTAAAGTTTTCCATAATCCCTCGCTCGTCTCCAGCGCAACGAATAAACAGAATATAAAGATAAATGACAGTTTAATACCGCATTTTACAAACATCGTTTTTTAAAGGATTTAAATTTGTCAAATTTCTGCCAAGCTGATAAATATTCGACCGAAAGAGATCATAAAACGTCGAGATATACCCGACCAAGAAATTTTAGATCTCAGTTGTGGCTGCTGCGGGATTATGCACGCTTAATCGATACTTTTTATAAATTATTTCGCAAGCGGCGATGCATACAAGGTGGCCACTTGCAGCTATAATCAATAGTTAAGTTTGTTGGAAGATTTTTTAAAATATTAAATTATCTATTTGAAATTAATATTAAACTCAGAAGTTAAACAAAAAATGATTAAACTTTATTTTAAATAACTTTTGTGAATACCATACAGTTTTAAGTAAGTTCTTTATATGACGGTTAGGCTTACAAGTCTAGATGTCTGTTCAGTATATAATATCTTCTAAACCAGTGTTTTTTAGATCATTCGAAGCTTCTTCGCCATATTGGCAATCGAGATATTCTGGTTTTAGTCTTCTTCTTCTTTCTTCGTATATATATGCTCCTGAGGCTTGTTTCTTCTTCGATATTAACCTTGTACATTTATATAATAATCATCATCAGTAGCTCGACAACCCTTCTGGATCCTGATTTGTTCTAGGATTTTTCCTCATTCTGTTCTGTTCTTTGCTTTGTTTTTCCAATTGGTAATCTTAAGTGTTTTCAGATCTTGTTTCACTTGTTCGATGTATCTAAGTTTGGGTCTTCCCTTTGACCTTCCACCTACTAGTGTTTGCCTTATTATATGTTTTGGCGTTTCAGTTTCCAACATTTGTTCAATATGGCCCATCCAGCGCAGACGTCCGATATTTATGGATGTTACGATCTCGGGTTCATTGTATGCTGTGCATAGTTCAAAGTTATATCTTCTGCGCCATATGTCAGTTTCTTTTACACCCTTATATATGTGTCTAAGGATTTTGCGTTCAAATGTACCTAATAGGTTCTCATCGCTTTTCGACAGTGTCCACGTTTCTGATCCATATACAAGGACCGGTTTTATGAGGGTCTTGTATATTTTGCATTTTATGCAATTGCATGTTTTATTACCGATATGTATTCTTCTCTTAACTTCTTCACTGATATTGGTATCTGCGGTAACTAGTGAACCTAGATATGTAAAACTGTTCACGCTTGCTGGCTTTCATGTATTCTGTATGCTGGCCTTTATGTATTTAGTTTTTAGTTCGTTAATGTTTAGGCCACTGTTTTGTGCCGCTTTTTCTATCGCATTAAATGCTTCGATCATCTCTCTTTCGCTGCGAGATCAACATCATCTGCAAATGCCAATATATATATACACTTTTTGTTATTATCGTTCCTCTGGTGTTGACTTTTGACTCCCTAATTATTTTCTCTAATGTAATGTTTAGGATAGGGCATCTCCCTGTTGTAGGTCCGTTCCCACATGGATTGTATCTGTTAGTTCGTTTTGAATTCGAATTTTGCACTTTTGCATACGTTCAAATCAATTAGTAAAAAATTATTCCAGTCTTCAGTTGACATCTGCGAAATCGCTGTTTTCAAGGCATCGATCGCTAGAGACTGGAATTGATGCCCACTCATTGAATTCTTAATCTTTGGCAACGTGAAGAAGTCGTTTGGACTTTGTCGGAGCTACACGGAGGAGGTTTAATAGAACCTATAGAATCATTTGTCGTTGTGTGTTGTTTTGTCGGAGTTTCACGATAAGTTCTGATAAACAAACGGATATATACCAATCAGAGGTAACCGTTGTTAGATCTTCTAAAATTCTAAATCAATTGTTGCCACTTTTATTGGTTTTTACTCATCGTCAAACACTCACATAGCGGATTGGCGTTTCTTTTCCGGTTCGTAGGAGTAAATTCAAGATAAATCGCCACTAACAAAACTATATGCGTTTTTTGAGCTTCCTTTGTTAAAGTGTTTCAATGTTTTTTAACACCAATTGACGCGAATCGCTTTTTGCTCTTCTGTGAATAAATGATGGATCCAACGGGAAACTTCGTAATACCCCGTTCTTCATGTAGAATCTTTTGGATCGAGTTTTTGAAATGCCTAAAGATGCCTCTATCTCCTAGTATATTACACGGCACTTAATTAGCTGACTACTACATCAATGTTTTGCTGTGTGACTTTTGTTTTTGATGAACCTGGCCTAGAGTCGTCGATTCATGACACTATAGCGACCACGTTAAAATTCGCAATACCATATGCTTTATTCCCAAAAACAAAAACCATTTTAGCAGGACATTGCTGTTGGACATCCTCTCCGAAAATAGTAAACAATTATTGTATCTACACGACTTGTTTTATTGCAATAAAACTCTCGACCTATGTCAACATAAGATTTAGGTTACATTTGTGTTGGAAGGTTTTATTGGTCATGCCCGCTATGCGGCTATATGCAAGAGTAAAAAGACAAACCTCGTAATAGTTCAAAAATAAAAGTTAAACGAAATGTGAGATCAGAACAAAAAATATTAACTTGTCACAAAGGAATGAAAACGTGAAGGAAATAGTAAAATAATTAAAATAAACTCAGATACAAAAGTGGAGCGTGACTCTAGGCAACACCTATATTAGCTCATTCTTTAGATGTTGTTGTAGATGTTTACATCTAATAATGGTGATTCAAAGTCCATTTTCCAGGTTCTACGTCCCATCTAGTGTTATGCCCCACGTTGGACACCATATCACCAGATAGGAAAATTACGGCCACTTATCCATTCCACGGTGCCTTACAGGGGGACTTAAATGAATCTATTCGAAGTACCCTCTGCGTATATTCCATCTTCGGTGACTAATTAACATTTCTTATATGAAAATAAAATAAAAGAACGTTTAGGAGGTGGACAAAGTCCGGCTACAGAGTCTCAGAGTTCGAAGAACCGGAGCAGAGCCCCGAAATCGGACTACTGGAGACCCTATTTGGGAGCCAATACCAGACTGGCCGAGAGTCAAAAATGTCGCATATTTATATGTTTTTTCAGATCAGGATCAGGTCAGTAGAAAAGATGTTTTAAGGCGGTTCGATGCGCATCGGGATGCGAATTTATCCACGACTAAAGCTCCCGAATGACAGCAGATACTTATATAGTCGATCTTAATGTGTTTCTCTCGACCGGTCTTTGTTAGCGCTTCTTGGCTATACTAGCCGAAGAACTTACAGACATAGGGAATCTCAACATCAAATAATAGAAAAGTTTCCAGAATAGACCATATAAACATAGAACTTCTTGGATATAGAAGTTTCTTGCGTACACTTCAGTTTGCGACCTAAGTACATCTTATAAATCAATTTTAAAAGAAAGAAGAAGAGTAATACGCTTCTAATATAAGACATGGAAGTTTGACGTTGCAACAAAGAAAAATATTTACTAAAATAAAAACATTAACTTTTGTTGAGTCTTCTTACAAACTCCTTCTGATGACGGGTAGACCCAGAAACACGTGTTAGGGAGTGGTAAAAGACTTAAATTAAATCGAAACGCAACATTCTTCGTATATTAACTTTTGTGTTTTCTTAAATTTATTTTTATTTCTTATTTTTTTTTTTTAATTATGGTGGTATGTTTAAAAGAGGAGATGACATTAATTTTGTGCTATAAATATTTAAAAAGATTCAAAATAAATTACTCAATAAGAAATCGGTTGCTAAATTTGGCCACCTTGTAATTTAAGTATTCCACATTACCTGGTAACGATATCAATGAACCCTGAAAAAAGCACAAGACAGGATTTAAAATGCCATCCTATCCAAAGTATTCTTATTTAGCATATTATGGAACAAATTAAGAATTGATTTATCGCAAAACCTAACGAATTCTTTCTAAAAGATTCAAGAAGATTAATATTAAAGTTGTAGAATACGTATATGAAGTTGTTAAATATTTACTAGAAAATATCGATACATTGAGTTGTATGTTCAAGGACAGGATTACTATAAGGCGTTTTTAAATCGGAAAAGAACAAATAAGAATATAGCTCCCTACGTTGATACTTTTTCTATAATATGCTCGCTAGATTGTCAGAATCAGGTATAAAATGTTTTCATAAAACAATAAATAAAGTTTGCAAAAGGCAGAATTTCTAAGAATCATTCAACATTCTCAATACTGTAGCAAAACCGAGATTCATATAAAGGAATTTCTCTGGTTTCGTTTATTTTAAAAACTGAAAAATGATCAAATTTAGACTAATAGACTGGCTTGTCGTATATAATTTTCGGATCTATAACAAACAGATAGAACCCGTACAAAAATTCCAGTATCTTGGTTGCTGCAGAACAGAGTGGAAATATGGACTCTTGGAATCACAAGTATAAGACGTGTAGAAGTCTTTGAGATGTGGGTTTTTCGAAGGATGCTAAAGATCTCTTGAACAGAGGTACTGAGAAGAATGGGGACAGAAAGAACTCCTAAATATTGTAAACAACAGGAAAACGAGTTATCTAGGACATATTTACATAGGAGAAAAATACAACTTCCTACGACTGATAATGGAAGAGAAAGTGGAAGAAAAAAGAGGTCCAAGAAGAAGAAAATTCTCCTTGCTGAAAATGTAAGAGACTGGGCAGGCATGGACACACATTGGAGACTAAGAACAACTCAATATAGAGAGCAATTTGTTGTAGTTATCGCCAACCTTCAGTAATGGAGAGGACACCTTAAGAAGAATAAACGCTTGTTATCTCGCAAGAATCGACAATCAGCATGATTTTAATTACCAGACATACTTTTAAAACTGAGTAACTTAAATTATTGCGTTCTAAATTAAATAGAATAAAGAAAAAATATAAGTTCTTTGGGTCGTTACAAAATAAGCGACTTTATGATAAGGCTATAAAATAACGAATTCACAGTTATCACGCTAATTTAAGAAAGGTTTACAAAATTGTATGCAATATTCAACCACTTTCATATGACAAAAACTATGGTCATCATGTTATGTAGCTTTTATTTTCATATAAATGTCCATTTGCTGACATTCCTCATCTACCAAAAACTGAATAACAGCAAACATTTGTACACTCCAAAAAAAGTACCGAATAAAAATATATTTAATATATGCATCATTAATACTTAAACAAATAAACTCTCTTCCTTAGCGAGAAAGTCTCCGATACTCCAATTAAACCAATTGAATAATTCTAATTATTATAAAAGCAAACGTTATTATACGGTCGAAAATATAAACCATTTGCTCCTAATTGTGGTAATAAGCAACTGTTTCTGACACAAATTTATTCAACAGATTACGAAATATCCAAACACTCCGAATGTTTGGGTTTCTCGGGGGATCGAAACTTTGTTTCCGAACTTCATTATTTTCCCCTAGGTAATGCTTAGAAATAATTATCAAAGATCAGAGACTAACAGTGAAATCAATCATTCTATTAGTTGGAAACACTAGAAACTGTTTCAGGGGCTTGCATTAGTTACTTCATAAACTAATCGGTTTCTCGGAATAAATCATTCGCTCTTTGATGGATTATTTTCGGTCCTTTAATTAGAAAATTTAGCACCATAGAATTAGTATATTACACTATTTAAATAGAAACTAGAAGATCACGTGTATTTAAATGTCTTGTGCTCTTCTATACATACGTTTTTATTTTAAATTAGGTTCCCAAAAATAAAGTAAAGTATATATATTTCATGAGGTAATGTTAGAATACCACTTGATACCTTATATCATTGTTTACCGCTCTAAATTTAGGACAGTTTCCTTGCTTCAAAAATACCATTAGGAAAACCGCAGTTTCAAGAATTTCGTATAATAAAAACAATTTCCCTCAAATATATTCCAAAACTATCAAATATTTTTAAGTAAGTCATGTTTTTGTTTTGAAATGCTCATCTTAGCAAAGAAAACTAATATACAATTCTTTTTTTTTTCAGGTAAGTCCAGTTTTGTTGTAGACATGAAGTATGGGTAAGATTTTTTAAATAATTATTCAAATCAAAATGAAATGAGAATGATAGTTTATCTATTCTTACGTTTTTATAAATACATCATCGTGTATTGTTGGAATAATGGTGATCCTAACATCGCCTTTTGACTACCATGTTTTTTCGTATAAAGGTCGCTACAAGAAACTCGTACATTGTTTAATAATAATTGTTTCTTTCTACTTCAAATTTCACAAGGCCCTCCTGATAATTAGGAAGCCATCATGTACGTATAGATGAATGGTGAAATGAAACTCGATTTGAAAAGAGATGTTATCCTGTATATAAATTATATCA